GTTGTGCAGAGCATGCAGCAGTTGTGCAGAGCATGCAGCAGTTGTGCAGAGCATGCAGCAGTTGTTCAGAGCATGCAGCAGTTGTGCAGAGCATGCAGCCGTTGTGCAGAGCATGCAGCAGTTGTGCAGAGCATGCAGCAGTTGTGCAGAGCATGCAGCAGTTGTTCAGAGCATGCAGCAGTTGTTCAGAGCATGCAGCAGTTGTTCAGAGCATGCAGCAGTTGTTCAGAGCATGCAGCCGTGAAACCAGCTGACGAAACGTGCTGGAGCTCAGCTTGTGTTGCTCGGAGACGAAGCAGCACCTGCTGACTTGTGATGTTACATTCGCAATAAAAACATCAACGTTTTGCCCAAAAATGGAGCTAAAAAGTTGATACCAAATGTGTTTATATGTAAATATATTTATGTGGCAGGACTTTCTTGACCTTTGATGACCTCTGGAAACATTTGCTAATATCTTTAAAAAGAAAGCAGCACAAATAAAAATAAAAGTTTTGCTGCACAAACATTTGACATCAGTTTCATTTCATGTGAAGACGGTTAGAAAGGACCAGATTTAAATTCATGACAAAAACGTTGCTGCAAAATAGAAACATTCGACACAAACTAAGGAATAAAGTTTTCAGAGACAAGAATTTGACAAGATGAAGAAAATATCAGGTCCTTTAGACTCTGAGTGACTAATATTTATGTCTAAAAATGTTTTAAAACAGGTGAGGAAAATCTGGACCAACAAAGAAATCAAAGCAGATAGAAACTCGAATAAGTGACAAAAGAAGATTGAACATGAAATCAACCACAATTAAAACCACTAAGAAACACAATCATAAAAATGTAAATAATCAATATGACTTATAAACCACAAAAAGTCTGAAAATAAAGCATGGAAACAAAAGCCATGATCTACATGTAACCACAGACCAAAGCAGGAAAACTGGGGGTTTGAGCCCAACAATCACCACAAATATTCAAATCAAATTACCAACGTGGAGCTCGGAGGGGAGAAAGGTTCTATGGAAATCTGCACCTCCGCCCTTTCAAAGGCATGTTTTCTTTTTCTAAAAAACATTGGATCCATGTAAGAAAACAAACCGATTCCCCGCGGAGCCGCGAGATGGACAGAGAGACGAGGGCTTCGTCTTCAGCAATCTGGGCGTTGCTCTGCGCTGTCATGTTGAGGAAGCAGATACGGATCACCGCTCCGTTTGATCGCCGCGTTCTGCTTCACAGAAAATCGTTTATTTCTTATTTTTGTTTTACTCACTGGCTGCTGGTTTGAGATGCAATTCTTGTCTTTGATTTTGCAAAAACTCAAAGTCTTAACAAGCAATTCTGGTTTAGTTTCTAGTGCAAATATCTTAAAACAAAACTGACTGACAAGTAATTTTTCAGGAAAATATTGGAGCTTTTTTAAGGCAATAATTCCTTAAAAATGCTGAAAAAATCCTGTTTCACTGGCAGAATATTTTTATTTATAACAAGACATTTTCCCCATGTTATAAGTAAAATAATAGCCAGTTTTATTAGCATTTTTCATCAATATTAAAGGAATTATTGACTTAAAACAACCTCCGATATCTTACTTATAAGTCAGTTCTGTCTTCACATTTTGAAATCCAGTTATTAATTCATCAGCTCTGATCTGCGTTGATGATTAACTTTTCACATGTTTGATGTTAGAAGATCCATGTTTTGCTACAAATGACGTTTGTTCACTACAGAAGTTCTTCTTAAGAAAGAAACTGAATTATTTATTCATTTGGATGTCTTTAAAATTGCTGAAGTAGTTTAATCCAATGTGATCCAATGATTAGTAGTTGTTAGTTGCAATTCTAAAAAAAATAAATATTTTTTTTTAAACTGCACATCTGGAGGTAAATCTGTAGAAAATAAAGATAGTTTAAGTCAACTGACTACATTATATTAGTATATTATATATTATTAAACTGTGATTTCGAACAAGGCATCAAAACACCAAATGAGTCGAGTAAAGTCCAACTTTCATTAAATTGTTTAAAGTTTGAATGTCGTTTCTGCTGGACAGTCTGTCCGAAAAGACCAGCGAAATGCCATCGTTTGTCTGAATGGAAATTATTTGCACTCATGCCAAATCTTTAACCCTTCAAGGCCGAGTCTCGAGTCTCCGCCTGGATATTTCTGCTTATTTTAATTATACAAACCTTTTTAAATGTCTTGAGTAAATAATTTTGCCCATTTCTCCATGACAACTGAAGCTTCTAGATGTTTTATCTAGAAGGAAAACATTTGTGGGAGTGAAATTACCGTAATAACCCGGCGCTGGCTGGAGAGCGCAACGTCTCCCTTTTCAGAAACTGTTGGAGTTTTTCATGCAGCACAAAGTATCACAGAGTTGTGGTACCACAAGGTTGGCTTGTGTCGCCGCCGACACATTCAGCTGAATATTAAACACCTTTTTTGATTTATTCTCTTTGCGGATTTCCTCCAACAGCGCAGCAACAAGTTTTGATTGGTTGATTTTATTTCCTTTTCAAAGGCCTTGTTTAATCACAAAACTCTCTGCCTCTCAGCTGCTTTAAATTACAAACATTTGAGACCGTATGAGGAAATTGTATTGAATTTCATTCCTTTGCTCCAAACCTGAGCCGATGCATTCCTAACTCTGGCCTTAACCTGAACTTAACTCACACCTTTGCTCCAACCCTTTCCTCTAAAAATGAAGACCAGGCTTTGGTCCCGACAGAACTGGTCTTAAATGACATAAACAAGCACAAACCAACAAAAATGTAATAAAAAAATAAAATAAAATCATATATATAATATATATACGTATTTTTTCTTGAAATACCTGATTCTTGTAAAATGGTCAATTTCACATAAATACTTCCATGTTTCATGCCACTGAGAAATATCTGCAGAGTTAAAGAGTGAGACGATTAGTTATTCAAAAGATTCAACGTCAGACTTTAAACAGTAAGGTTTGCCAGAAGAAAGTTTTTATCAGTCAAGCTGCTCAAATAATCTCAGTTTACGAACAGAAAACAGTCAAAGCCTCAAGAAAACCACAAGGGTTAGTTATTTAACCTCATAGAACGTAATTGGGAATATTCCGCTCAATTTGGCTTCATTGTGAGCAAAGTCTCACACAAATGCTACAAAACAAGCAGAAGAAACTGATTTCATGGCTGGTTCTGCAAACCAGCAGCAGGATGAAGATTTAGCCTAAAAAAAACAATAAAAACTAAAGGAGACCTGCAGCCAGTGGTTCAGTCAGGGACAGAGAGCGATTAGAAATAAGAAAACAGAATCACCTGATTATATCCAGGAAATAAAAGTTTTAAAATGGGTCAAATGTTTTATTACAACTGCAAATATAAATTTGAGATTCTTCAAATAACAAAGAATTGTCCAAATTATGTTTTTTTTTTTTTTTCATTTACAAATGAATTTGACCAACTACTTCTGGAGCTTTACAACAAACAAATCTATAAAACTGTTAAACCTTAAACAGATTATAGTGATTATGTATTTTAAAATGGTTCCACTTCACTGCTTGTCTGAAACTCATTTGTAAAAGAATATATTGCATGATTTAAAACCGATGTGTCAGCTCCATCTCACTCAATAAAGCAATAAGAAAGGTGCAACAAAGTCAAAGAATGGAAATATGCTCTGCACTAGTTGCTAGCCAGCTAGAAAAACTTTAAGGAGAGAAATGGAGTTACAAAAATCATGTACAATTGTCTCCAGACAAAACAAGCTTAATCCTTTTACCTCCAGATTTGTAATTTGAGTTTTTTCATGAAGCGCCAGGGAGGACATGAAATCCATCTTGCATCGATTAAAACGTAGAAAATTCAGTGGTATTTAATTCTAAATATCAGAAAGTCAGCCATCAAAACGCTGGACAGAGCAGTCATCGATATGCTTCAGTGGAAAAATCCAGTTCAAATCAGCATAAAAATGAAACAAAAACACAAACATTTGGAAAACGGCTCCAAGTAAATACAATGGAAAAGGAGAGATCCAAGTACGGAGCGCTGCGGTACGCCCCAAGGAACGTCAGTAGGCAAAGGCATCAAACTAATGGCGTCCAAGCATTAGAGAAAAACATCTGATATATGCAGGAATAACAGCAAACAGGAACCGATTTTGATCTTTGTGACTTTATTTAAAATAACCTTCAAAATAAAAGCTGATTTCTGTGCAGAAATAACACTTTCTGTTGATTTCAACCTCCCAAAAACAGAATCTTTCTCAACATGTAAGTTTTGAATTTAACTCATGATTATACTGAAAAATTCGGAGTTTATATCTGAGGAAATTTGCAACAATTTGCATCTGGTTTTACTCCAACGTTAAGGCTGTTAATGAACACAGAGGCTCAGATTTTAAATGCTGCAGCTCCAAAATGTTTCAATCCAGATACATATTCTATATCAGTCATTTGTTCAGACAGCCGGAGTCACTATTCCAGAAAGTTGTTCTTCTGAATTAAATAAATAAGAGGTAAGATACTGACTGGCTTGACTTATCCAACAATAACCCCAACCTCTCCCCTGCAGTCATACGTCAGTAAAATTCTGGCTTGTTTGAGTCAAATCTGTTGTGATTTCCATGAGGATGAATGAATTAAAGTCAATAACAAATGTCCACCAAAAACCTCAGTTTCAATCACTTTCAGGAAATTCAAGAGTTTTTCTTCAATCATCCAAATACGTCAATCACCGTCACCAAAAGTTTTGATGACACAAGAGACCCGAACAAATTCTGCAGAAAAAGGTTCATTCAGTTTTTTAGTTTTGTAGCAACAAAAAGTTCCCAAAATGAGACGAAAAGTTTCCAGAACTGAGACATTTTGAACTGCAGGTGGTAAACTGAACCCATGCAGAGCTGATAATCCATCACACAGTCCTCACTTCTTACCGACATGTTTCAGGGAGCTTTCTTGCTGTCAGCAGATTGCGCTCAGATGGAGAATCAACCTGAACATCAGCAAAAACAAGGCGTGCGTCTCTTACCCAAAAGGCCCCCCAGGAAGCACAGCGACGGTTGGACCATGCTGTCCGGCTTTCCCACGGTGCTTCAAACGCAGCACACACACGACAGCGATGTCTGCAGCTCTCCGGTGTGCGGATGGACACACATGGGGCGGCGTGCCTGCCTCAGCTCTCCATGGCACCAGTGAGCCTCTGTCAGACCGACTGAGGCAGCTCCAAACTCTGCTGCCGATAGTCTGGAGGAGAAAGCAGAAGAGAGGAGAATCCAGCAAATGTTTGCAGGAATCTGACCAGGTCCAAACCTGAGCTGCGAGTAAACGTGCTGTGTGGGTTTCCGTGCATGTTTTCATTTAAAACTTGAAACGTTGTCAAAAATGTTTATTGGATTTTTTTTAAGAAATTCAGATCTGAAACAAAACCAAATGTATATGAAGATAGAGACGACAAAAAGTAATTAATCAATTAATCACATGATGAAGTTACTTAACCTTAATGGTTTCCATTTATTTTACTTTATATTTCAAACCTTTTCAAATACCATGACATGTATTTAGATAACTATTTGTTTGAAAATAAGGTAGGCAGAAGTATGAAGAAAATAAAGGAGTCAAGAAAACAATTAAATTTGCATACAAAGATATTACAATCCATTTGATTTATGGTACCAGTTGTGTAATAAATTATAAAACAGGTAAGTCAAGTATAGCCTGCCCTGGCGGCCAATTACAATTCAGACCAGCACAGGTGGTTGATGTCGATGGAGACTTTTTATTTAAACACAGGGTGAAAACTGATGCGATATCCAACAGTATATCTTGGAAAAGCATTAGTAGAGCCTTCTGCACAACCAACAAGAATGCAGAAACAAGTGGTTTCTGGATGTTAAGTCAAAAGTAAGACCCTTGTCTCTTCCAGCAGCCATTGTACAACATATACAGCAACAAAACCAGCTGACCAAATGTGCTGGAGATCATTATGGGTTGCTAGGTAATGGGTGGAACTCTGCTTCTAACAACTTGGACAGTAAAAATCCAAATGGAAGAACAAAAATGTGCAAAATGTGAATTTTGCATAATCAGTCCCCTTTAAGAAGGCGAATGAGAAGTGAGTGCCCACAATAAAGGGTCACACTTCTCATCTCCCTGAGCAACGTTTGTCAGCCGTCTTCAGGAAGTTTACCCTGGTGGGTCACAGGGTAACAGCAGACGCTTGTGGATCTGCCATTGGGGTCATGAGAGCTTGGTCGTCTACTTCACATGTGTTTTTTGGATCTGCAGAAAACCTGCGGCTATGATTAGGATCCTTGTCTAGCCAGAATAGGCCCTGTGCATGAATTCTCACCACAAAGTGGAGCAACTTGAGAAGGCAGAGTATCCCAAACTGAAGCTGCCGTCAAAGCTACTCTGATATATTTAATTCATTATTTTAATTTTTGGTTAGAAATGTCAATAAATGCACATTTGTGTGGGTAAAGTTCATTTATTTGGTTAAAACCCATGAAGATGTAAGGGGGAACTTATCTTTTGTTACACATGACACATTGTTTCCCAGGGGGAATCATTAACTGGCACACTTAGTACTCTGCCCACCTCCGCCATATTGAACACTTCTAAAGACTTGATTAATGCTAGCGCTGCATGTGTCTCAAAAATATTGTAATCACAGAATAATTGTTTTAATAAGTATATTATCCCAAAGGAATATTTGAAACAGTTACAGGATTTTTCAGATAAATGTTCCAAAACTACATTCCAGTTTCCAAACTGATGCATCTCTAATTTTAACTACTTTTTGCATAAAAGAGGCCAAACTTTGGGCTCTGGTTATAACGTTAACACCAGGAAACCAAGATCCTGCACATGCAGGAAATCCTTTTGTGTCTGAAGTGTTTATAATAAATCTGGCTGGTGGCGCAGAACTGCAGCCCAGAATTTAAGCCGGAGATTGAAGCCAAACGGTGGATGAATTCAGGAGCAAAGAGCAACGAGCGGCCTACTCAGATTCACAAAAATATCCGGGAGGCCTGATTGGATCGGACGGAGCCTCCCGGCCCAGGAGGACAGCGACCCAAAACATTCTGGCAAACCAATCCAGGAGCTTTCCAGAATCCAGTTTCATCACACTCACTGCACAAACCCAAAATTTTACCAAGTATATTTGGTCCAGTTTCCAGTGCAAATACCTTATTACACTTAAAATAAGACAAAACAAACTTATAAGTAACATTTCAGCAATTTATGAGCTTTTATTAAGTCAATAATTCCTTCAAATTAATGGAAAAGTACATCAGCAGCTTATTTCACTTATAACACAGGAAACTGTCTTGTTAAATAATAAGCTAACTTTTTAAGCCAGTATTGACTTAAAACAAACTCCAAACGGTTCCTGAAAAGTTATTTGCAACTAAGACATCTGCACTAGAAACCAGACCAAATCTACTTGGTGAGATTTTGTGTTTTTGGGGTGCTGAAACAGAACTTTACAGAATCCAGCTGTTGGAAAAGCTCCAATATCGCTCAAGCAAAAGCATAAATCTACTTATTTGTGATGAAAGTATGTTTAAATGTAACTCTTAAACCTGTCTTTGGCCATTTTTCTCTTCGCAAAATCAACTCAAAGCCAAAAAATATATATAAATAAATTCCGCGCTGTCCAGCTGTAACTCGATCGTGCTTTGGTAACCATGTCCGACTCCAACTCAGACTTTACGAGACCAACGTAAGACTGTTTTGACACAAAGACTCAAAAACAGACTTCCAGCAGCGTAAATGGCAGAAGACTCTGGCAGACGGCGGGAAGCGAACAGAGGAAAGTTCACACAGCCAAGGATCATCCGGAAGAATCAGACGGAAAAAAAAAACTCCTGGAGTCGTACAGCAGTGATGGGAACTCTAAAGTTTTCAATATGAAGTTACACATGAGTGAAAGCCTCGCCTGTCCTGTTTCTAATTGGGAGTTTTCTGCTCGTATGGTTCCATTTATCACAGCTGTCAGGGTTATTTTGAGACAGGAGCTCCGATTTATTCGTTAGAGGATCTTAACAGATGCAGTGGCTCATTAAGATTCTTAAACTTTTGAGCCAGGAATGCAGTAAAACAATGTTTTGCTCTGCATCTTTAATTGATTATGAATAAACTGAACCTTGGCTTGGTAACGCAGGGTGGACCATCATGGCATACATGTTTCTGACTGCATGAAATGTTTCACGCTGTGCGACGGGAATCAATACGGTGCATCACACACGCTGCGCACGCAGGAGGCCGGCGCCGTCCGTAAAGGCCTCAAAGCCTCAGCAAGTGAAGAAAAAACTTGAATCAATTACAAGCTGTCCATAAAATCAGATCCAAACATCACATAACCAGCTTGTTGCTTCTGGTGCAGAATGTGATTTCAAACAAGGCTGATGTTGGTGTTTTTTGATTAAAATTGATAAAAATAATGATTTATGTCAAGAAAAAACCCATCAGCGGAGCCGTTTCAGCTGAACTCATTAACTCCTCTGATGGGGGGCGACATGGATAGAGAATTTTACTGCAAGATTTGGTGGAACTAATGCTAAAAAACAATAATAAAAAAATTTATTTATGGAACAGCATTCATTGGAAACATTTGAGTTCAAACTTCCTCAAGACACTTAACATCATTTCACTAAACCACAGACAGAAAAGCCATGTCATCATTTTTTTTAATTTTCTGATATTTGCTGATGCTGTTGGATTAGAGGAGAAAATATTTAGGAAAATACTATCAGTTCTGTCCTTTATTTAATGTCATTAAGTTTAATTAACTGAAACCTTGATATATTAAATTTAAACATTAAAGTCCTCTGCATCAGCCTTTTATTAAAGGGGCGGTATTATAGTGCCATTTTGTAGCAGAATTAAGCTACTATGCTACCCTCAGGTGTTATGAAAACATTTGAGGGAAAAACCTGACTTTGCATTCGGAGACTTAAAATTGGCCTCCGTCTCTTTAAGAAGCTCCGACCTTTTATGACACGCCTGTTCATTACATCATCACGGCCTCCACTCAGCCTGTAAAGGGGCAGAATCATGTTTTCCAACCACATCATTCTCTGACCACGTTACCTTCAGTTGTTATAAAAATGTATGCATCATATCTGAAATTGTGTCTCTGTCTCTTTAAGAAGCTCCTGCTCTTTCTGAAACACACTGTGCTCCTCCATTAACCCTTTTGGCAAGGTTTTTACCAGAGGTAGCTGCTGTAATGAGCTCAGCTGAGGAGCAGTTCCATCAGCTGTTCGCTAATTGCTGCTGGCTAGTCTGAAGGAGCCGAGGAGCTGGGTTCATCTGAATGGTTGCCATGGAGATTACATAATTTCTTAAACATGCGTGAAAAAAAGAAAAATCAAGGCAAAACTCCAGGTTTGTTTTGACGGTGGAATCACATCATTAAACAACGTAAAGCTGAAAAAAGTTGATTTTATGCAAAACTGCCTTTAAATAAAGCAGAACGGGTCAAAGCAGACAGTTTATTGCTTCCCTGCAGACATTTTAGATGCTGCAACCTTACAAATCGCAGATTTTCCGATTATTCAAAAGTCCTTTAAAATTAAATTTGTGTTTAGAGGACGAGCAGCAGGAGCCAAAGACTGAACAGAAGTTATTCAATTTAAAAATTAAGTTAATTCATAAATTGTCTCATGCACTTTACCGTCAGTCACTGTGCTAAAAAGGAAATGTCAAATAGCTCCCAAAGGAGGATTTTGATGGATCTTCAAGGTTTGGAGGTCAAGTCCTGCTTTGTTTAACGGTGCGAATACCTGGCGAACGCTGCAGCAAAAATCCTGCCTGAAAAGAAAATACCAACCTGTTTTATCACAAAAACAGAAGAGTTACATTTCATCCCTTCATCTTGTGCATAAGGAAAATAAAGGTTTTTATAAATGTTGGATTATGGAGTTTGGTGTCTTTCTTAATGATTCTTGGATTTCAGGTGGAGCAACACGTCTCTGAAAATGTGAAAAATTCATCTCAGACATGTTTTCCTGATGTTTTCTACTTTATTGTCGCATAAAAAGCCGGCACTGATATTATTGTGACTGCAGATAGTTTGTGAATGACTCATAGTTTCATCGATGGAGAGCAGAGCCGTGGTCAGGATCAGCTGGGCACTTTCAGTCTGAAAACAAACCGACACGCGGGAGAAGATCTGCTCTGCATTAAGACACGACCTTCAGCAGTTATCCAAACTACAAAGGCCTTTCAGCTGCAAT